TGGGGGAGGGAGATGTCTTTGTTGATGGAAATCTCTGGAAAGCTACCCAGGGTAACAGGTGAAATGTCGGCAGAAATTAAGGTAAGATAAGGAAAGGAATGTGTGTGAAGTGTGAATGGATTTGACTTGCTCTAGAACAGAGAAAGGCCCATCGGGAGGAATGGTGAATGGAGATTCCTCTGCAGTGTATGAAAAGAATCCCGTGTGTTGCCAAGCCTGCACTTTCAGCATCTGCCATCCCCTCCCTCACCACTGAAACATATCTGGGCACAGGTATACACACTCATTTAAATTTTGATCTGTGTAAAAATGGACGAGGGAATTAAGCTTCCTGTCCTAGCAGACAGAACGCAGGGATGAGGCAATTCTGTTGCTTATAGTGAGGTAGCAGGAGTCTGGGGTCAGGGGAACTGCAAAAACACAAGTCCCTTAGAGACTACAGAAATCCAGGGGCTCAGAATGAGAGCCCAGTTACCAGACCCACCTGGGTCTGAAGGCGTGGTCCACAGCTAACATTGAGGCTACAACAGGAAGAATCTGTGTCTCATGTCTAACTGCAAGAGTGACACAAACAGAAGATGGGAAGAAACTTTTGACTTTGTTGCTGACTGCAACTGTAACTCATGTCACAGGAGCCCTCCTTGCTCTCCCAGACAGGAGAGCAAGAGCTTCAAAGCTTTGGCCTCTAGGACTTCTGCAGTGATAAGACATCAGCCCAGTTGGGACAGAGGAAGCCCTTAGTCAGTGTGGCCTGGGCTTCTCCTTTGTATCCCATCACTGAGTGTGGGGTGATGCTAAATGGTCTTCACTTGTCTAAAGAGGGTCCTAGCCATCTTATACTCTGGAAATCTCATTGAGCTGAAGTCTGGACAGCAGGCACATCAGGATCATAATGAAAACAGCAGCTCATCAGAATGGAAGGAACAGAGGACCCAGGAGAGCAGCAAAGCGCTAGCTTCGTGGAGAAACAGCCACCCCTAGCAGTATTCTAAGTCCAGCTTTGCTGGTGACTAAGTGACCGTGGTCTCTGGGCTCAGATTCCCTTTTTGCAAGATGGAAAATACACTCATTTCTGAGTGCTGCTCTTCTGTGGCCTCCAATCTGGCTCTCTAGGGTGACTCTCTAGTTACCTTGAAGCCTCAGAGAATAAGGACTTCAAGCAAGGTTACCAAGTGGGGTTTGGATGCAGGTCTGGGTGGTCTTACGTCTTGGTGGCATAGGAACTGCATTTGAGAAAACTGGAAGGCTTGAAGGAAAGGTCAGACTGAGTTGAATGAACTTTAGGAGGGAAAGCTTCAGGGTTGAGCCATAGATTTGGAATGGTGGAATGGCCTAGTTTTAGGAAAGGATTATAAGTGCTTTGAGGATGGCTGTCTAGGTTAAACTTTTTTTTTTTTTTTGTCTTTTTGAGACAGGGTCTCCCTGAAGCCCCAGCTGGCCTGAAACTCACTATGTAGACCAGGCTGGCTTTGAACTCACAGAGATCTGCCTGCCTCTGCCTCCCAAGTGCTGGGATTAAAGGCATGTGCCACCATGCCCAGCTGGTTAAAATGTCTTAAAGCAATGATCTAGACTAACCTTGAGTTTCAAAGGCAGGCAACAGCAACACCAGATTTTCTCTCAGTATCTAAGAACATTAACCTCAGGCACAGAGACAGGTTGTCAGGGCCCTTCCTAAAACATCTGCACAGATGACAACAGAGGCCGCACCAGGGGCAGGATCCAGCTGCAGTGATTTGCCTGGCGTTGGATTTGATCCCCCTCCTCAAGCTCTACACATGATGTTCTGGCTCATCCACAGGGGGTTCTGCTGCTACCCGGATGGTCCTGGACTCTCCTTCATCCCAAATTAGCTGCTTCCATCTGTCCTTCATTTGCCAAGCTTTCACCAGAACGTAAAGGGATAAGGCACAACTTCCCGATTCCTTCAGGGTGTACAGGAGTCAAGCATGCCAATATCTTCATACAGAACAGCTCCAAAGACATCTACCTCAATCATCATGTTCACGACCCTTCATTACAGTAGCCCCCAGGAGTGGCATTTTCCCCTTCCCTCTAGAGTGTCGTGATTCTGATTTCACCTCTTCCACAAATCTCAGACCTTTCCCCTTCTTGTTGCTCCCACCCTGTCCTATCTGGTATGGATTTACTCAGGTGGGAGCACTGAGCCTGCAACTGTGACAGAAATGGCTTATGACCCACTTACACTGTTTCTCGTGTTCTACAGTCCCCAGTTGCCATTCTGCCCACTCCACATCCAATCAGACAAGAAAGCATGAAGGCGTCTTTCCCAAGTGCAGAGTCGTATATATTCTGAGTGACTGAGCTATTGGCATTCAAGTTTTGACCAGTTGCAAGATGATATACCAGACAGTGAGAAGACCATACATAGACACTGAATGTACATTACATAGGAAGACTTGATGTTGGCATACAAGAGTTAAAGGTTTCAAGTGATACACGATACATCCAGAAGGTTCTTTGATGACTCCAAGAGCTGTACCCCTTTTAGGTTGTGACATTTCTCTGGCTGGAAGGAAGGCCTCTGAGAAGCTGCATGCTTTTTTCTGGTCTCCTACCACTGTTTAGCTTGCTGATGCTAAGAACACATGGCCTCGTCCTTTCTTAACTCTCTCAGAGTGGTGATGGGAAGTGAAAGCACAGTGGGAAGTGTCTGTTACCACCTCCCACATGGTAACCCACCTCAACCTCGAAGTGCCCCAAGAGGTAAACAGAATAGGCCTTTCCTATCTGAAGAGTGGAAAAAGTGGACACAGAGCTCATGTGATCAGCCGTTTCAAGACAGCCGGAACCAGATTCTAGCTCTGTAGCCCCATGTTTTCCAGCAGGCGTAGGCAGCTGTGACAAGTACTGCCAGGCCACCTGGCTGAGGCTCATAGCCCAAGGCCAGCTGTGGTATGGGAAACCCCAGAGCGAGGCTTGGATCCAGCTGTGATCCAGCTTTCTCTGCTTCTAAGCAGGGATAGTTTCAGGTAGTGATGCCGACGACAGGTGTCTCTAGTGCTGGAAAATGGGCCTCCTTTGGCAAAGGAATCTGGAAGCACTTGAGCTGCTTTGCTCAGGATGAGGCCTCCCTGGAAACAGACCAAATGGGAGAAGAGGGTCGAGCTAAACAGTGGAAATGCAGCTTCTGAGAGGTCAACACTTGCCTTACATCTGCCAATTCCAGCAGGAACAAAAACAAAGCTTTCTTCTAAAGCCACCCTGAGTGGCAGAGAGAGGGTGCATGTGTTAGTCTACATAAGGGTGAAGTATTATCATCTGTCAACTGTCCAAGACACATGACTTGGATTCCAGTTCCGTGGCATGCACCCTAGGGTGGACTGCATTTAAACTATAGCTGCGAAGAGTGATGACCCCCTTACATGGCACCAAACATTTTCAGTTGTACAACTGTGAGTTGGTGAAACCTGGTTTTGACTGCAATATTTTAAAAGCCCCAATCTCTATTTGAATGTGTTGTGAAGTGTGTAATATTTTGATGTCATATACACTTTATAGTTATAGTAGAGTAAGTATGGGTATTATGTACCCAAGTGGGTGGTGTTGCCTTCGGAGTAGTTACCTTGTGGGAAATGCATGTTTGTTCCAGTGAAGCTGAGCCATCTCAGAACATTTCTAGAACCTTTTTGGACACTGTCAATTTGTAAGCTCCTCGGAGTGGGTAAATCTTTGTCCTTTAGGGGTAGATCTATTTTTGAATAATTTTGAATAGCCAAAGAGCATTATAAAATACACCTGACAAATAAAATGGGTGGTGGTACTTGGCACTGCTTTGGCAGGTGGAGGAGTGGGGGGAGGGTTAAAAAACTAAACAAAGTCTGTAAAGTTATGAGACCTCTTCCCTTTCATGGCTTCAGAGATAATTCCAAACAGAAATTCTCAATGTTCTGGGCATCTATAATCAAATAGTTCAAGAGTGTGGTCTCCCAAGGAAGTAATTCCAATGAGTGCAGCTTGTGAGTGCACAGTTCTGGTATATTTAGTCATTTCTAATCTCCAGTTACACTTCCTAGAAGCAGAAATGGAAAATTCCACCTCCATGCTTTCTCCCAAGGAAAAGGTCTCCTCTGCTGCTAGAAGGGTTAAAATGAAAAGCACTTGTGTCATGTCTATGTTACCTCCACCCAGCCCTCAATGAGTAATTCCTGATACCTGAGTCTCCCCAGTTTGGAAAAACTGATAAGGACAGGTTTCTGGAGCCTGGATAAGGGCAGCAAATCTAGGGGATGGGAGTATGTTTCCAATGGATCTACCCAACAACTCATACAAGAGAAATGCCTGCAAGTTATCTTCCAGCAACTTTCTGTTGTAAAAAAACACCCCCCCACTGGTTTCTAGATGGCAAGTGAGCAGAGTCCATTGAAAAGAAAGAAGGTCCATGGTGTTGGATTCTAGTGCACACTTGAGAAACAGAGTGTGTGGCCATCGCCCATCCACGTTCGTGTCCAGATGAGGCCAAAGGCAGCAAGGTGCGGGAAGCTGCTGGAGCTGGCATTAGGTGAAGCAGGGGCCCAAATTCTGAGTGGCATGGCAATCTGTAGAAAGCCCCAGTGACAAAGCAGGACACATGCCAACAACTGAGGTCAAAGAACGCTCCATCTCCCTCTCTACAAAGTGCTTCAGGGAGAACGCCACCGAGGAAGCTCCTAAAACACCATATCCTGAGTGTCAGAGTAACATGGGAAGGTGGTGACTGAGGGGGAGCAGAGACCCAGCTTCTAACATGGCTTGGGCCGTGTGTTCTCTGAGCATCACACACGCAGAATGAGAAAAGGTATTGCTGCAGTTGCATCCCGCTTGCCAGCCCATGCCTCCATCTCGTGGCTGCCTGTGAGAACAGTATTTCCAGGAGCTAGTCCAAGTTCATGTTTGCTGCCGCTAACAGCCAAGGACTGCAGCACAGTCAGTACCTGAAAGTCTACCATCCTAACCAAGTGCTCAGACAAACATTGGTCTCAAATCAATCACTCTGGATGTTGTTCTTTGTGAGTGTTTTTATATTAGTCTGCATAAAAACCACAAAGCTAGGCCATTTGTTCAAATCATCGTTAGAAAGAACACTGAGTGCCCAGATGGGAGTTCTAGTTTCTGTGCAAATGAAATCACATTAGTCCAGATTTTATTCACTGGAAACTACTTAGGGAAGCAATAGGATTTGGTTTAAATGCTGCCAAAAAAGCAGGAATTCACTGGAGTTGTAGTTCTGAAGCAGTCCTGCTGTTAATGCTGTAGCCAGGCCCTGGCAGCATGTGGTGGGGGGACCCCCATTGTGTTTGCTGAGGAATCCCGGGCCTCTCCCAGTTCAGGCTCACTCTCGCTAGAAGTAGACCCGTTGTTGATGGCGTAGACGCTCTCTGCAACTCCCTGAGCTGAAGCACAGCCATCTGGTTCACTCTTCTCCCTGGGGCTCGACAGTCCTGGGAGGATGGCCATCTTCCCAGTCTGCCTGTTTGGCAACAAGGACATGGTATAGTCTGCAATGATCGCCCCCACATCTAAGTTGCATGCCTGATCGAAGGCTAGGAAGCCAACGTTGGCGTTTGCCTCGCACACCACGAAGGAGCCATCATCCATGATGAGAAGGTCAATGCCACAGAAGTCCATGCCCAGGATGTTGGACACCTGGATAGCCAGCTGCTTGCCTTGTTCTGTCAGTGGACACTTGACGCCCACACCACCTAGGAGGAAAGCACAGGGATGAGGTGATGACTGGCACTTACCAATGAGTCTAATGACACTTCCAGAGAGGGATAGAACTGTTGACAACAGGGCCCAGAGACAGGCACTGGATGGAAAATCAAGGTGCCTGGCATACAGTGGGCATTCATAAAGTTTGAATGGAGAAATGAAAGATATGTATCTTTCAATAGTCAAGTAAACATTCTATAACCATTAATAATAGCGGTGGACTGAGCATGTAGCTCAGTGTCAGGGCACCTACCTAACATGTGCAAGGCCCTGGGTTCAATCCCAGTACCAGAAAAAAAATTATTAGCCTTGGGCCTCCAAACATATGTGCAGTCACAAACATACATGCTTCCCCCACTCATATACGTGTGTGTGCATGTGCACGTGATAAAAAGAAAACGACACAAAATGATAACTCAAGGCTCCACGCTAGTACCCTTTATGTAATTACTGTGGAAACGAGGTGAGATGTATGATGTGAGATGCGAGATGATCTCTACTGAGCACTGTCAGACTGAGTTTGCCCTGTCTTCATTCTGCTGGTTGTCTGCTTGCACATCCTTCTGGGCACGTGCTACCTGAGGGCTATGATCTCTATACTCTCACATCCACTAGAGTCTGCTTGGTGACTGTTAGTGGAACAGGACCCAATCAGTGTCTGAGCCACATTATCGGTCAATAAACTTGGCATATGCATCTGCTGAGTTAGGAAATAACTATAGGGCCTCCCCCCTCCCTCCCTGAACTTCCTCTCTTTTTTAACAAAATTCATTCACTGAGGTTAACACAGTTATTTCATTTTTTTTCAAAACTTATGTGTATGTCTCTGTGAGTATATGGCACGTGTGAGTGTGTGTGGAGGGCAGATGAGGACATTCCCATGGAATTGGAGTGTCAGGTGGTTGTAAGCTGCCTGATGTGGGTGCTAGGGACTGCATTCAGGTCCTCTGAAAAAGCTCTTACAGGCTGAGCCATCTCTCCAGCCCCCAATGACAGCTGTCTATATGGAGACAAAGATGCACTTCCTCTTGCGGTGTCTCCATCACCGGGACAGAAAACAAGCTTTCTGAATAGGGATGGGGTTCTGAATTCAGCCAAAATACGAATGCAGCTTTCTAAGAACCACGTACACGAAAGGAAAACAACTCTTCAGTTAAAACATTAAGAGCAAATACAGCATTCCTCTAGCCATGGCTGTGGTATAGGGCCCAAGTGTGTCCCGCCTTTGTGCAATGCAACATGATCCTGTCATCTACAAAGTTCACACCTGAGAGCCACGAAACCAAGTTAAAAAAAAAATCACACACACACGCACGCAGGCACGCACGCAAAACCCTCACAACATTTTGAATAAGTTTTGCACCAGGTCACATTCATAGCTAATCCTGGGGTACACGAGGCCCATGAGCTACAGGTTGGACATACCTTATATAAGCCTTTAATAATCCCTGTTTGAGCAGTTGCAGAGGCTTCTAGATTCATCCCTCGCCCCTGCTCCTTCCTTATGCCTTTCATCTACCATTTTCTCAAACATTGTTCTCCTGTCACTCCCTGCTCAAACCTTGCTGAGTCTTAACATCCACAGGACAAGGTTTCAACCTTCAGCGTCTTGACACTCCTGCTGCCTCTAAGAAAAATTCATTTCTCATCCTTCTCTGTGAGAGCCTGGGTCATCACAGGGTCTGATGAGAGAGAAGGGTCAGTACACATTCACTGAGCAGGCCAGTGAGGTACCCCGGAGGCCTTCCATGAGCAACAGGACCCTCAAGCCTTCTGCCTTACCCAGAGAGCAGTTGCTCTGCATCCGGCCATCTGTGGAGCAGCGCAGCATGGAGCCGATCACCTGGCCGCCCACCACCACCACCCGGATGTCCTTCCCATGTGACTCCTTCACATACTTCTGGAACAGGTAGGGTACATCATGGCGCACCAGGTGGCAGATGTCAGACAGATGATGCTTATCTCTAGCCAGAAAAACAGCTTTTCCTTCAAGAAGAAAGATGAAGAGTGAGAGAGGAGGTTAGAGAAGCTGCAGGCCCCTGTCCTGGCTGTACTACCTCCCTATCCTGCCTTCCTGTCTCCAAGAGACAGCAACCTTCTCTAAGTTTCCTTATGTTGGCCCTTCATACTTCTCTAAGGTTCTTATTATTTTTTTTTAACCAAACAGCCGTTGAATTTTATTTTCTCTTTATAGTCTTCAGATTTTAACCATATTTACTCTCTCCCCATACAATTTGTTTTTTCTTCTCTCTCTCTCTCTCTCTCTCTCTCTCTCTCTCTCTCTCTCTCTCTCCACAC